TTTATCCAGGTCAGTATACAGAAGGGGTGGTCTGGCTCGGGGGCAAGGCTGCATCTCAAGCTGGTAGCTGAACTTGGTAATGTATAAAAGCCTCCCACAGGGAACTGGTCTGTAGGCATGAAGGGATCATCAAGAGCAGCAAAGACTTGGCACTGTGGCAGGGTGGCAGTTTCTCTGCAGAGGGGCTATTGGTAGAGGTGCAGTCTCAGGTTTGGTGGAAACCAGCATTGAAGGAGTCATGGAGAGAAGCTGAAGTTTGGCACCACGTGAAAGGCTCAGAGTCCACGGGGAGGCCCTAAGAATCCATTGGTGAAGGTACAGCCTTCCTAGCTGCAGTGGAGACCCCAGCATATTGGAGACTATGGGATATCAGCAAAGACAGTTAACTGAGAGGACCCAGCCTGAGCTTACTAGACAGACTGTGTGTGCTGCAGATAGCAGAGGCAGAGAAATGGGACTGTGTCTTACTGTTCTATTGCTGTAAAGAGACACCATGACCGAGGCAACTTATAAAAGACAGTGTTTTTTTGTTTGTTGGTTGGTTTTTCTTTTTTTGTTTTTGTTTTTTTTTTTTTTTGTTTGTTTTTTGAGACAGGGTTTCTCTGTGTAGCTTTGGAGCCTATCCTGGCATTCCCTCTGGAGACCAGTCTGGCCCAGAACTCATAGAGACCCCCCTGCCTCTGCCTCCCGAGTGCTGGGATTAAAGGCGTGTGCCACCAATGCCTGGCTAAAAGACATCGTTTAATTCAGGGATTGCTTACAGTTTTGGGGAGTGAGTCCACGACCATCGTAGTGGGGAACATGGCAGCAGGCAGACAGGCATGGTGCTGGAGCAGTAGCTGAGAGCTTACATATCCCCAAGCAGCAAACAGAGAAGGCAAGACTTGACCTGGTATGGGCTTTTGAAAACTCAAAGCCCACCCAGGAACACACCTCCTCCAACAAGGCCACACCTCTGAACACCTCTTAAGCAGTGCACCAACTGGGAACCAAATATTTAAATATCTGAGGCCATGGGAGCCATTCTTGTTCAAACCACCACAGAGGCCCATCTTTTGGGGCTCAGAGGAACGAGTACCTATGTCAAACACTGAGCTGCAAGATTTGGACAACACCGCTGGACTTGGGTTGTGCTTTGATCTGATCATAACTGTTCCCTGGTTCTTCCCGTGTTGAATAAGGAAGTATGTAACATGTACTCTCCATTATAATCACAGTAACTTGTGAGCCAAATAAATCCTTTCCTCCTCAAGCTGCTTTTGCTCATGGTGCTTGCTTGTCACAGCAACCAAAAGCAAACAGGAGCAGAAATGTGTCCAGGTAAAACCGGTCTGACTGACTGCTGACGAAGAGGGCAGGAACGTTTGACTCTGAGGCACTACAGAGATAACAATGCTCAGTGTTTGCCCCACAGGCCACTCAAGAGCTGAAGACTGAGTGCTGATGGGTGCTGTGAGGGCCCAGTCTGAACTGCTGTTTCAAGGGGGGACAGAAACTACAGTGGAAAACCTAGGAGACAGCGCTTTAACTCGGGAGACAGTGGGAGATTCTTTGATGCTGCTGATAGCCCCTAATACACAATTGTTCTCTAGCTTCCGTTTCCACTGGACCAACAAATGGAGTGGAGAAAGAAGGCATGTCAAACACCCTCCCCCCGACACATAATTTCACTGCTTCACTGTTAAAGAAATGCTCAGACTTCAAAAGCTGTCCCCCTGGCCATCTACAAGCTTGATATTAGACAAACAGAATGCGCATCCCTCCCCATCTGCAAGCAGGAGTTTGAGCCCAGCAGTGCTCAGGAGCTCAGTTTCCCGAAGAGCTCCCCTGGGGCTCCCCAATCTCCTCAGGTTTCAGTATTTTGAATCGATGATTCCTTCCTTGGAACAAGATTAGCATCTAGGGGTTACAGGTACACACACAGCCCAAGGAGAAAGCCACCCTGCACTTCAGCGCCCTCTGGAGGCTGAATGGTGATAGTACGACTGACTGTCAACAGGATCTAGAATTACCTAGGAGGCAAGCCTTCAGACACACCTGTGAGATTACATAGCCTCTAGACCAGTGATTGTCAACCTGTGGGTCTCTACCCCATCAGCCTCTTGTCTCCAGCAATATTTACACTATGTTCGAAAAGAAGCAAAATTACGGTTGTATATAAATGAAAATAATTGTATGGTTGAGGGGGTGGGTCACTACAACTGTATTAAAGGGTCTCACATCATTAGGAAGGTTGAAAAGCACTGCTCTAGACAAATGTGACATATTGTACTAAGCTGAGTCTAAAACCACCGTAAAAATAGGGGTACCATTCCCTGGGCTTAAACCCTAGACTGAATAGAAAAGAAGCTAGCTGAGTTCCACTCTGCTTCCTACGTTACTTCAAACTCTTGCTGCCATGACTTCCCTGTCCGAGGAACTGTCTTTGAACTGTGAGCCAATTCCCTTAAGTGACTTCTCGGGGTGTTTTGACAGAAGCTGTGACTGAGAAGTGGGGCTGTTGCTGTAATGTTGCACCGTGTGGTTTGTAGACGCATAGGAGCCTGTTTGATTGGAGGAATGAGAGGAATTTAGAACTTGAGGTAGGATAAGCAACCGAGAACTGCCAGGAGAACGTAAAGCACTTAAAATTTGTGTCATACTCTAAGACTATGGCTTTATTCTGCCACGACCTGAGACCTGGAGTGAAACGGAATTTAAACTTAATGGACAAAGACAAGGAGCAGCCAGGATGGCTATAATGGTTAAAGCAATCAGCACCACTGAGGGAAAGCATCTGTCAATGTGCTTGAATTACAGTATGGCTGCAGGGAAAATGCCACCCACCCAAAGGTCCAATCTGTGAAAGTACAAGTGTATTATAAAGAGCCTGCCCATATTTCAAAAAGTTCCCTGTTCCTCAAAAGGAACTGCTTAGTAAAGTATTTCCCCAGGGCAAGCAGCGAAGTTGATACAGCTGTGATCCAAGGACACCAGGCTACTTGGTATTTTAGCAGCAGAACTTGGCAGCACCATCTATGTGGGTCCTGGTTTTTCAGCCATGAAAGATGTAAGATGGAAGGGTTCAAGGAGTCATATTCCACGGTTTCAAAGAGCAGACAAAGCCAGGCAATGTGGCAGGGTAGGGGTCCCTGCAGGTTTGGTATAAGAGGCTACTGCATGAAGCTGTCATGATGAAGCCTTAATTGCAATGGAGACCCCAGGATACTGGAGATACCAGGACCATGAGATTAACACCCTGTTCCCAGCTTTGAAAATGGCATCTTCCCAGTGGGGGCGCACGCCTTTAATCCCAGCACTCAGGAGGCAGAGGCAGGTGGATCTCTGAATTCACAGCCAGCCTTGGTCCAGAGTCAGTTCCATGTCAGCCAGGGCGACACAGAGAAACCCTGTCTTGAAAAACAAAACAAAAAAAACCTTAGATGCTCTTTCAGAAAACTGAGGTTCAACTTCCAGCATTCATATGGTGGGCTCACAACTGTCTAACTAACTCCAGACCCAGGGGATCCTACACCCTCTTCTGGTCCCCGCAGGCACCAGGCATTCAAGTGCAGGCAAAACACTCCTACACATAAAAATAAAAAGTAAAACAACAGACATCCTAATTCTTAGAAATTGTAACTATGAATGCATTTGAAAGAAGGATCTCTACAGAGATCCTTCAGAATTGTGTAAATAAGGAGATCATCCCAGACCACGGGCTGTAAACACAATGACAAAGGTCTTTATAAGGGAAACATTCAAGAAATTTGATAGACAGAACAGAAGAAGCACGGAAGACAAAAGCTGGCACTGAAGTGCTACAGTCAACAACAAGGAATGCCAAGGGTTGCTGGCAACCATTGCAAGCCAAAGAGCAAACAGATCCCCATCTCCAATACACTCGGTCTTAGGAGGGAGTGAACACCCTGACCTTGTACCATGACCTCTAAAACTAACAAATTTCTGCTGAATTACCTGGTTCACAATAATTTCTTATTGCAGCTTTAAGAAAACACAGAACATCACACGATTTTACTTGTTTTAAAATTTTAACAATCTCTCTCTCTCTCTCTCTCTTTCTCTCTCTCTCTCTCTCTCTCTCGCTCTCTCTCTCTCACACACACACACACACACACACACACACACACACAGGTCCATGCTTCAAGGATGGAGCAAAGCCATGCAGGATTCCAGAGGCCTTGCAGAGGAACAGGATTCAGGAGTTGTAATGGTCGCCTCATCCCAGACTTTGCAGAACACTGGCCTCCGTGGGTCCTATGTCTCCCTTTCCACTCTTCTCATTGGGCCTCAAGGCCCTTGGACATGCCATCCAGATGGCTTCTGTTATCTCACACTATCCTCGGGCTGTCAGGATTCCATGCAGACATCTGCTTATCCTGTCTTGACATGCTTCCTCAGAGGCCTCCTCCTAACTGCATGATGGATCTCATCGCCAATATTCTGTAAACTCGAGTGCAATGCAGGGTCTTGACAACCACTCTACACAAACCCAGGATCCCCGGGGATGCACAAGGATGTGGGTATGGAGAAGGCGGAAGTTGGGAAAGGCTGGGGCACAGACTTAGAACCTTGGGGGCACCTCCCTGTGTGCTGTGGATAGGCCCATCTATAAGAGTTAGAGGAGTGAGAGGCAGGCTGTTGGTGTCACCATGTCTTCTATAAAAGAGGGAGGAGGCATCTGCTAGGGACAGGAACCCCATTGAACTGATAAGTTAGGTCGGCACTCGAATGGGGTCAGCTTGCTGCTGGTGAAAGACTTAACACCTAAATAAGTGCTCACACGGCCCAACTCCCAAAGAGACACCACTCATTCTCCAGTGGGGAGTCTGTTCCACCATCCCCAGCCTGAGCGGGACTGTTTATACTCTACATAAAACTAGGCCTGAGGACACTCCACAGTCAGAAGGTCTTCAACCCATGGACACTCCAGGGGCTTCATCTTTCGCACTTGGCCTGAGAGAGAGTAGGCCCACTGTGACCAGGTAGAGGCAGTTGGGTAGCATAATAACAGAGGGTTTATTTAAATCCTTCCAGTTTCCACTTAGGATTAGTAAATCTGTCTGTGACCAGTTCTTGCCCCAAGAGTCCAAGTCTGCATCCTGACTGGCCAGGAGCTCACAGCTCACTCGGCGCTCAGGAAGACCCTCTTGCGGGCAGTGTTGGTATAGGGGTGCCAGCGCCATTCTACGTCTGCTGTGGCCTCCTGCTCCAGCGTGCCAAGGCGAATCATGTATACTAGGGTCAGGAGAAAGAGACGTTATCCCATGTACAAACAAGCCCCTCATTTTATGCCCCTCCCCTGCCATAAACAAAGCCCCAAACTCACACTTGAGCTCAAATCGAGGCCCAACTTCAGTCAGCTCCACATTGCGGTGGTCTGTCTTCTTGTAAACATGGTGCCTGGGGAGAAAGGAAGCAGAGATAGGTATGTGAGTCAGTACAGGTCAGCCAAAAGTCCACAAAGGTCATGATGCCCCAAATCCAGCCCATAGACCCACCGGAATGAAATGTAGTCGTCCTGGTTTGCAAAGGTGATGACCCGATGGCTGTCATCTTTTGGCACAGGAAATAGGTAACGAAGGATATCAGACACCTGGGGCACAGGAAAGGGTGCAAGTTGCAAGTGTCTGGTCTGATCATTACCCCCCCAACCCCGACTCCCACTCCAAGGCTCCCATACTTACCCGCTTGCCCAACCGTGAGGTAAAGCCGTGAGTGATGAGGTGAGGCTTAGCCTCTGACATGGTGCCCAGGTCAGGGATGTCATGCCGCATAACCACATTGCACAGTGTGAAGTAGGCAGTAGGACCGAAGGGCAGATGGCTGACAATGAGCCCCACTGTAGGGTATAGGCTGTCAGACACTCTCCCATGACAACAGCCTTAGCTCCCTGTCCCTCCGGCAGGCCTTACCAGGTGTGCCTCGATGCTCATGGACAACCAAGAGGTCAGTGACCCCATTGGCTTTGCACGCTCGCACCAGTGCTCCAACCTCATGCCGACCTCGGTTCATGCGCTGGGCACCTGGGAACACCAGCTTCAGTTCCTGCCCATGGACCAATGTCACATCAGAATTGGGGCCCCTGGCCACGGGCATCCCCTACTCCCCACCCCGTAGTACCTTTGCAAACATCTTCAGACGAGAACTGGGGTCTCGAGAGGTAGTGATCATGATCTTAGGATCCTCAACCCCAGCCCATCGATATTCATCATCTACATGGCTGGTCACACCTGTCGGGAGAACAAAAGACAAGAAAAATGCCGAGTCTGCTCAAGAGAACCCACACTAATGGAAATGCAACTCTAGTGGCCAGGGGGCAGCTACCACTGGTTACCAAGCACACCTGAGCAATACAGTAAGTAGTCTATGGTGGCAAAATTCTGAACTGCTAAAACAAGTGGGAGACTCCTTTTCCTCACAAGTATCTATAATCAGATTCCTTTCCTGCTTATTAAATAATGCAGTGAATGAGACATTTGGGTACCAGTGCTAAGGACAGTGTTCTGCTCCTGCAGATATCCCAGTGAGGGAGAATGAGCTAAGAGTGAAAGCTACTGTGTTCGCCATCGTGTAAATGGAACTGAAAGCATTCATTTAGGGAGAGCCCCTGTGATGCCACACAGGCAAACAGGAGGGAAGCTGGGGACAGGTACAGAAACAGTTCACCTGGACACTTCCATCAGGTGGGAAACTGCCCAGTGTGGCTGAAGAGGACAAGAAGCCCAGTGAGCAGAGAAGTTGGTTCAGTGTGGAAGAGGGCAGCACAACACAGTTTTACCTTCACCGCCAGCATCATCGAACTCCAGGGACCCCTGTAAGGCTAGCGCCTCCCGGCGTAGCTCAGTGGGAATCAACTGGTTTTCTGCAAGGAAAAGACAGGGGGATGAGTGTGACACAAACAGGGTCCCATCAATTTATATGATACCGTGGTTTACTAGTCTGCACAGATTTGACGGGAAAGCACTATACTCCTTTCTTAACAGAGTCAGTACAGAAATCCAGGAGATAGAGAAGTAGCTACTGTACTTATTTCATTGGAGACAAGGTCTTGAGATGTGCATGGCCTTAGCTTCTAACTGCTGCAATTACAGGGTATGCCACGACACCCAGTTACTAATTTCTTTTCACCTAATTGTCAACTCATGGCACCCGGGGTGCTCATTTTCCAAAGCAATTTATCATTACCAATATGTATTATTTTTATAACCAGATAACACTTTAAATAAGTTTTGGTAACTCAATGGTGGGCAGTTTGCTTGCACGTCTAAGACCCTGGTGCTAAGGAACGCTACAAAAACAAAAGTTGCTTTTTTAAAAGAAACAGAATGCTCCTTATGTGGGAAGGCAAACCAGTGACCCCAAGTCTTCACACCAAGACACTAAGCCAGGTATGGCTGCCCATGCCTGGGCTTTGGAGGCAGAGGCAGAGGCAGATGGATCTCTATGAATTTGAGGCTGGCCTGGTCTACATAGTGAATTCCAGGCCAGCAAAGGCTACAAAGTAAGACCCTGACAAAAAAAAAAAAAAAAAAAAACAAAAAAAAAAAAAAAAAAAAAAAAAAAAAACTGCAAGCAGGGGGGAAAATGCCTTGGGTCCTCAGAGTTGGAAAAGAAAACACTGCTAGTCTTGATGCCTAGAACACTTCAAGATGCATAGCCTCAGCTTGTTGTGCGTAAGAGAATTCTGTGGACTAATGTGGGCAGTCAGGGGCTAAGCTGTGGTGTGTCCACTCTGGACAATAAAGCACATTTGAGCACCCTAACCATAGGCCCAGTTCTGCTCTCCACCATGTAGGGGTAGAGGGGAGGGTCATGGCAGCCATACTCTGTCCAGCTACCAATTGAGAATAAGCCCCTATCAGCCATAGGAAAAGGATTATACCCAGGGATACTCACAAAAAAAAAAAAAAGTCTAGCCATACCTGGGATTTTAGAAACACTGAGTGTCCCCTCCCAAACAAATAAAGCAGACAAACACATATACTCTAATATCTGTAGACTTAAAACTCTAAATAAGTATAATGTAAGCACAAATAATAGCTTAACAATGCTTTCTTTCTTTTGAGTTAGGGTTTCTCTGTGTAGCCCTGGCGGTCCCTGAGCTTGCTCTGTAGACCAGGCTGGCCTTGAACCCAAGAGATCCACCTGCCTCTGCCTTCCTAGTGCTGGAATTAAAGACATGGTGCCACCACTGCCCAGCAAAAACAAAACAAAACAACAACAAAAATGGTTCCTTTTAATGCAATATTTAAGATAGTGATCATTATAAATGCTAATAAATGATCATTTTGTTGTTGTTGCTGTGTGTATGTGTGTGCCTGTCTGAGTTTACATGCACACCTATAAGGATGGCTGCTGAGGCAAGAGGACACTGGATGCCCTGGAGCTGGGGTTGTGAGCCACTCCATGTGGGTACTGGGAAATGAATTTGGATTCTCTGTAAGAGCAGTAAGTGCTCTTACCAGTTGAGTCATCTTTTCAGTCACCTCGATTTTTTTTTCGAGACAGGGTTTCTCTGTGTAGCTCTGTAGACGAGACTGGCCTTGAACTCACGGCCTCCCGAGTGCTGGGATTAAAGGCGTGCACCACCACTGCTTGGATCATTTTTTTTTTTTTTTTTAAAGTTATTCAGATGGGTCATAGATGCTTAACACTATGCTTATACAGCCCAAGCTGATCTGGAACTCACTCAGCCAGAGCAAGCCTTGAACTCCTGATCCTCCTGCCTCCATCTCCCCAGCTCAGGATTACAGGCATAGGCTACTTGGCCCAGTTTTATCATGCTGGAGGCAGAATGCAGAGCCTCCTTCGTGTTGGGCAAGTAGATTAACAACTGAGGTACAGCCGAGCGTTGGTGGCGCATGCCTTTAATCCCAGCACTCGGGAGGCAGAGGCAGGCCGATCTCTGTGAGTTCGAGGCCAGCCTGGTCTACAGAGCGAGTTCCAGGCCAACTTCCAAACCTATACAGAGAAACCCTGTCTCGAAAAGAGAAAAAAACCAACTAAGGTACAATCCTAGCCCTAACGCTATGCTTCTTAACTCAAACAGACTTCACATAACACATTTATAGTCCTAAAATTTATAAAGCTCCTTGGATACAGAACCAACAAAATACGGATATGAGCGGTCCTACCTAACAGGCAAAGAATAACTGCATGGAAAGGACTAGTATCCCACCAGGATAGGGAGGCCTTACCTTCAAGAGCACGCTTGACTCGCTCCTTCTTCTCCTGAATGGATCGCTGTGCATCCTCCCGGGCCTTGCGGTACAGGTACTCGCGGCGCAGGCGAGCCTCCCGACGGAGCTAGAGAATAGCCAGGGTCATAGAATAGGCAGGGTCCGGACCACCGAGGACCACAACCCAGTCCTCCATAAGTCCCCCGCTCCCCCGCCCGGAACAAGCCAAAACACGAACTCAAGCATCCTACCATGATGAGCGCCGCTCCCACACGCGTGTGTGATCTTTAGGCGCCGCCGGCACCACGCAGCGGTCACTTCCGCCCTCAACCAAGAAAGCCTCGAAAGACTTCACTCAAGTCGACTGCCGTCCAGAGTGCCCCATATTAAAATGAAGGAGGGCGTCGCAAGGTTATTGGTTAGTCAGGCAGCCAATCAAATACCTGGATCCGGCATGTCACGTGCTTTAAGACAGCCCAGCTAAACGAGCTTGCCCACTACTCTTCGCTACGAGCTGGGCTGTTCCCGTAGCCAGCTGGCGGAGAGCAGAAGCGGAAAACTAGATGGGTGGGCTTTCCGGGATTAAGTTTAAGGCCTGACTTTTCATAGCCATCTGATTCGAGAAATGTCCCACTTCGGGCGCTACCCGGCGCGTCCTGGTTCCCGGAGTGCCCTGGCAGTTGCTACGAGTCACCCCGGAGGCCGTAGCCTTTGACTTCCGGGCCGCGACGAGGAACGCCCCCTAGGGGCGGGTCTCAGGCGCCGATTGGCTGTCATACAAATGGGCGGTGATTAGGCGGCTTGGAAGGAGGTGGTTTAGCTCCTCGGCGTCCTAACAGCGTCTGGGCCATGGCGGTTTCGGCCCTGCGGGAGGAGTTGGACTCCCGGTTCCTGCAGCTGCTCAGCGACCTGGAGGAACTAGAGGCGAAGCGGGCGGCGTTGAACGCCCGGGTGGAGGAGGTGGGCCGCGGGGAATGGAGGGAGGGGGTGATGGCGAGCCTAGGGAGGGAAGTCGAGCCTAAAGTGTCTCCTGTCTCCCCAGGGCTGGCTCTCGCTTGCCAAGGCTCGCTATGCCATGGGCGCCAAGTCGGTCGGGCCCCTGCAGTATGCCTCACGAATGGAGCCTCAGGTCTGCGTGCGCGCCAGGTGAGGTGCCCTCGGTGGAGAGTGGGTGGGCAGAACGTAGGCCGGCGTGGCCAGAGATCCATCTTCTCTTTTCTTTCAGCGACGCCCAGGATGGACCCCAGACCTTCAGGGTGATCAAAGCTGACTCCCAGATCCCCGAGGAAGTGGGGCCCGGCGAGGCATGTAAGTTTCCTTTCCGCCTATCAGCTCAAACTCGCTGAACGTTTAAGATTACTTTATTCGGGATCTGGTTAATGGAGCACGTCTAAGCTGGAGACTGGAATGTCTTAGGAGTGCGGCCTTTCCTTATACTTTGGTAGGAAGTTAGAGGTGGGCCGTTTTATAGTGGGGTAGGTTTTTCGGTCAAAACGAAGTCTCATCAGCTGAACAGAAAATGTGCATCTCTGTATCTAGGCGTTTCTTGGAAATAAACCTCTAATCCCAGTTAGTCATGCCTGAAACAAAGAATGGGGAACTTCAGGGTCTTCCAGAACATTTATGGAAAAGGGGCAAGGTCAGTCTGATCTTGTTGCTGGCAGACAGAATCAGATGTTCTGGAAGTCAGTAGACCCAGGGTTGTCTGGATTACAAAGGGAAGACACACAAAAGAGTTTGGGGAAATTTCTTTCTTTTTTTTTGTTTTTTCCAAGACAGGGTTTCTCTGTCCTGGAACTCGCTCTGTACACCAGGGTAGCTTCAAACTCAACAGAGATCCGCCTGCCTCTGCCTCCTGAATTCTGGGGTTAAAGGTGTGGACCACCACCCCTGGCTTGTTGGGAGAAATTTCTAACCTTCGGTATTTTCCAGGATCACAAACTTAGATTAATAAGATCATTGTGGTCACAAGGAGTGTATGGCCTTTAACCTTTCTTTCTCCAGCTCTACGAAGGCGCAAGGGCCCTACCAAGACCCAAGAGTCAGGATCCTCTGTGGTCCCTCAAGATCCCTTGAACTGGTTTGGAATCTTGGTCCCTCACAGTCTTCGGCAGGCCCAGGCCAGCTTCCGGGATGGTGAGTGGACCCTGTTGGCTTTGTAGCTATGGACTGAATTCCTGCCCATTATCCACAGGGAGCACTTCAATACTAATACCATGTAAGGACTCTGCAGGGGTTTTTTTGTTGTTGTTTTTTGTTTGTTTGTTTGTTTTGTTTTGTTTTTCGAGACAGGGTTTCTCTGTGCCGCTTTGGAGGCTATCCTGGCACTGGCTCTGGAGACCAGGCTGGCCTCGAACTCACAGAGATTCGCCTGCATCTCTGCCCGAGTGCTGGGCCACCAACGCCTGACTCAGGACTCTGCAGGTTTACATCCTAGCAAACTGTGTTGCGTGTCCACTGGGGGTTTCCCCCAAAGTGTTCCCTGGCTGTACCCAGCATTCTAGGTTCATGTTTGTTAGCTGCTAAGGGATATAATGGCAGCAGGGATAAAATGGAATGTTTGTTCCGTATGAGAGAAAGACAATGTATACATAGATAGGCAAACAAACAGACTTTGTAATTCCAGGCTCTGGAAGTCACGAAGAAAGTAATACGGGAAGGAGTGGGCTAGAGAGCTGGTTTATGAAGATGGGACAGGAGAGGCCTCTTTGAGGAGATGAAGCTTTGGGAGTGATCTGGAGGAACTATATTCTAGCTAAGGAGACCAACTAGGCCCTAATTGGTTACTAGGGTAGAAGCCCTGGATACGGGGGATATGTGGACTGGGGGAAATGCAAAGGAGGCCAGAGAGCTGGGTCCAGCACAGCAGGATCTCAGGAGCCAGGCCCTAGTGAGCTTCCATGGGCCGGTCCAGAATCAGGATGAATCAGTAGGACCAACAGAGTAACAAGAATCCTTGGGATGCTGAGTGGGGACAGACTGGAGAGCAGAGAGGAAGCAGGTGCCAGGATGGGCCAGCCATGGTATATAGGTAGAGGCACTGGAAGTGAGGTGAACAGTGGCAACTTGCACATGTTTTGAGAGTAGAAGTCCCCAGTGTTTTCTAACAGCTTAGATACAGGAGTAAGGGAAAGGAGAGTTCTCCAGAACTCTGGGAGGATGGAGCTGTTTCACCTGTGGTGGCGGACAGGCTACCAGGCAGCAGCTGAGGGAAAGTTGGCGATTGTGTCGGGGGTTCTTGTGGCTTGGCACCTGTGTCTGGACTAGAGCGAGATTTGGAAATTCGGTGTAGAGTGCTGGTGTTTAATTTCCCAAGTTGTTGACAATGATGCACAGAAAAATGGAGATCTGCTGAGGACCAGGGAGTACCCAAGAAGAGACTGATGAATGGGGCCCACAACTGGGGTACCCTAGAATCTAACTAAGAATTTTGAGAAAGTGTTCCTGGATAATTGGGAGATGAGCCTGCAGTCCTGTTGCACTGGAGGGTAAAGACAGGATTGCCTGACCTACTGGGTGAGGTAGAGGAGGAGAGAGCAGAGGTGGATGCAACCTAGGGGTGGAGGAAGAGTGGTTTGTGCTCAGGTGCAAAGAAAGGGCAGGGGAAGGGCAGCTGGGAACTGAACGGAGGAAACGGGGCCATGAGGTTTGTGATCCGTGAGGAACTCATTCTGGGAGGCACAGTGAATCAGGGAGGCTTTTTTGTTTTGAGGAGATGATGGTTTAGCACAGGTGAGCTGCTGAGGAGGTGAGGGTGTGGGTTAAGTGATTTCTTCTTCTCTCCCCAGGCCTTCAGCTGGCTGCGGATATAGCCAGCCTCCAGACTCGAATCAACTGGGGTCGGAGTCAGCTCCGGGGCCTCCAGAAAAAGCTGAAGGAGTTGGACCCTGGGCCTGCCTGACCTGAATCTACTTCCGAAGGCATTGAACATAGCCATCTTGGATGCCACTGCCTTACTCAGGCCATCTTTCATAATAGCCCCTGTCTCAGCTAATGCCCCTGTAGCAATGTCCTTAGTCTGTGTTGATTCCAGCTTTGTGAGTTAGGAAGTTGAGTTAGGAAATTTGATGAGGCAAGCTGAGCAGTGTTGAAACGTATGAAACCACTTCTAGGTCCATGTTCTCATGGGGCCTCCCTCCCTTTGGGCCAGTTAGAAAACAAGCAAATAACCTCCAGTCCAGTCAGCCAGCTCGGGATACTGAGACCCTGCATGCATGGTGACCAAGAAGAAAAGGCACTTGGAAATAGGCTAGCTCAGGACAATTCCAGTCAATAAAAATACCTCTGGCTGGGCATGGTACTGCATGCCTATAGTCCCAGCAACTCTAGCGGCTGAGGCAGGAGCCGCTAAGCCCTGGTGTTAGAGACTAGCCTGGGCAGCAGACCTTTTCTTTAAATTACATAAGACAACACACACACAAATAACCAGAGTAGACTGTCAGGTAGGAGGAGGGAGTATTCTATTATCAAAAGTGTGGGGGGGGAACCAAAAAACTTGGACATTCTTTCAATGGAATAGAAAGGACATTCCCACTTGATTTTTAGCAGTTACATTAGCCTCTTTGCCTGCTGAACTTGCATTCCTGCCTCTGGGAACTGTACCCTACTGAGCTTTTCTACTGAGCTGACTGAGCAGCATCTGGAGACTTGTGTTTGGGGAGAGGAATTAACTGTGAGGTGTAAATATTTCTACCCAATTTGTTAATTTTGCTTATATTGGCTTTTCTACTTCTTAACTGTAAAAATATGTAAAACTGTACAGAAAAATTGAATAAAATGAAGGTTACAGTAACTGTCACCAAGCTCTTTCATTTCTTAAATCTATTTTGCTATGTGTATGGGTGTTTCGCCAGCATGTATGTCTGTGCTCCATGTGGTTGCCGAAAGTCCTCAGAGGGCCTCAGAGGGCCTCAGAGGGTGATGGAGCTCCTGGAACTTGAGTTACAGATGGTTGTGGGCAGCGCCATGGGTGCTGGGAATTTCTGGGTCCTCTTGAAGAGCAGCCAGGGATTTCTCTTAACCACTGAGCCATCACTTCAGACTCATAAGTCATTTTTTTTTTTTTAAAGGAAAGTTGAATTTATATGATTTTCTTTCGGATTTGGGATTGTAGTAATGCAATACTAAAAAAAACGAATTCACTGTGGTTTCAGCTGGGTTCAGTGAGTCGTGAGCCCAGCTTTTCTATTAAAGTTCAGGCTGTAAATTTTCTAATGATAAATAACAAAAAGATTAATAGCAGATTACAAGCCTGTGTGGGGTAGGGAGCATTTCCTCCCCTTCCAGATTCTCTGGTGCCCGTATGCTTGGGGCTGTGGTGACTAAAGAGAAAATGGCCTTCTGCCCTTCGTTTTGTTTCTAATTTGAGAAGGCCACAGTGTGTAAACCTTGAGTAGTACAAGAACTCACCAGTTTTGCCAGTTGTGGAAGCATTAAAGGCATTCACCATCACGCCAGGCGGCTGAGTTTCATAACATCCTAGTGTCACTAAAGAGACATCTCTGCATGCAGAGGACAGAACACAGTCGTAATGACCTGCGAGAGGACCTCTCGTGGAACGCCGATCATGTCACTGTCCACGGGATTGAGTCTAGGTCGAGACCACAAAGGCATTTACCGCGCGGCTGCGCTTCGGGTGTGCCGGGCTCCGGTAAGCGCGACATTACTGCTGGGATAGGGTGAAGACAGTGCCCAGCAAAGTGCTGTTGGCTGCTGACTTCGCCCCATTTCCACTCACGGAGGAGGTTTCATCCTTCCGCCCACCCGACCGGGGCAGCCGCAGGATCCCCAGAAAGTGAAGATGCTGAAAAATTTAAGGGGTTGGGTTTGGGCAAGCGTCCCTGCTGACGTAGGTGAGATAGTATACAAAGCAGAGACACCTACCGGCAGCTCCCATATGGTCTAGCGGTTAGGATTCCTGGTTTTCACCCAGGCGGCCCGGGTTCGACTCCCGGTATGGGAACAAGGCATTCTATTTCTTACTTTCAGAAGTAATTTGTTGCTATTTTTATCTTCTTGCCACTCCTAACACCTCACTCCAAAGTAATGGAGTAGACTCCAGTTGAGTCCAGAAGGCTCAGAAAACTGTTCGCCGTGGGCTCATCAGTCTGCGAATTGAATTTAGTCTTCATCACAGTATTAACTAGTTATTTTGCCCAGTCGTAACTGCTTATGTCCAGCTCATTGTCAGTTCCAGATGCAAAATATAGATATTGGAGTTAAAAGTAATCTTTAATTTTTCAAAATAACATTGCGGATTGTGGGTATCGAGGTTCCTTCTGCTAGCCCCTTCCTGGATTTCCTGGACTTGAGTAGAAGGAAAATGTGGTGTAGAAAGAGTAAAGCGGAGATCTGGGGGCTGAGGAGAGAGAGATCGGGGTGGGGGAACACTTCCTCTAGCAAGAAATGCTCACTGCGCCGGGCTTTAAGCGGCAACTGCAAGCTAGCGTCTTCCTTGATGAGTTTTGTCTGTCTTCTCCGTCTGTCCGCCGGTGTTCTTGCCTTCTCACCTGAGAGTGCTGGCCTTGATTCCTCCCTCCAGCGTGGAACTGACTCCTGACGTCCGTCATGAGAAAGGCTGCCTGTATGAATCCTAGTCCGGCCTGTAACTCCCCATCCTTCTGTCTTGCTTTCTGATTACAGCTGTGCACCACTGCACTGGGCCCAAACGACCACCTCTGGGTCTACACACTCGGTCAGACCATGACTTCCTCAAGTTCCCACCCATTTTCCTTTATTAATCCAACAAAAGTCTCATGTGGGGTTGAGGTGGTCTGTGAGTTCTGTTGTTTTCCACTGCACCCGCCAGGGCTGTCACTGGGTCCCGGCACCTCTTTCTTGGGCTCCTCTTCTTTTTTTCTAGCAATAGATTCTCAAAATGGTACCCACTCGTGGGTCCTTCTACCGAGGATTATGTGGGGACCCACTCTCTGGTCCTAATGCATAAGCACTATCACCTCTGACGTCATCTCCCCAGCCCTCCTGAGGAGGGTACTGGGAAGTGAATGCAGGTCCTCTGGTAGAGCAGTGCATGCTCCTAACCTCTGAGCATCTCTCCACCTCTTCGAAGAGATTCTTAGCGGGTATCTACGGGGTGTATAGGCTTGTTTGGAGCCAGATTAGAGTTGTGTTTTCTTGTCGAATCCACTGAAGTTATTTGCTGTAGATTACCCTTATTTCCAAAATGAACACATTCTCTTTCTTTAAAAAAAAATCTTTTATTTCCTTATTTATTTATTCGTCCTCCAAAAATTTCATACATGTATAAAATACATCTTGATAATACCTAACCCCTCCTCTCTCTACTGCCCCCAGGTTCTTCTTCAACATATCTCCCTCACAACTTATGTGCTCTTTTCTGTTTTGTTATGTACATATAGAAATTGATCTATTTATTTTAGATTTTCCAATTTAGTGCAACATAGATGTTTATGCACCTACTATTTTCTGAGTTTCATTGACATGTGTTGTAATATCTCCCTTTTCGTTTCTAATTTTGATGATTTGAGTCTTCCTTTTTCCTATGGTTATTTTGGTAAAGAACTGTTTGTTCCATTGATTAATTGTGTCTTGTGGCTTTTGTTGCTTTGTGCCTACCTCATTAATGTCCTCCCAGAATGTATTATTTTGCCTCATCTACTGCTTTTAAGTCTGGATGAATTTCTACATGCATATGGCCTTTGACAATTAAACCAAGATTAAATAAATAATTTAAACAGATCTAGAGCAATGTATTTAAAGCAACACTTTTTAAAAATATGCCTACATACACACACAAAACAAAACAAACAAAAAAAAGGGACCAGAGAGATTCACTGACCTTCAAAGTGGAACCAACACCAATACTGCTCAAATCAGTCTATAAAACAGAAAAGGAAGGAGCTCTCCCAGTCTTCTGTATGACGCCAGCATTGCCCTGATACCAAAACCAGGTAAGGACAAATATAAATAAAATTACAAACCAGTTTTCCTGGTGAATATAGATATAAAATCTCACCCCCCAAATACTTGGAAATTTAATTCCAATAACATCAAAAGATTCTTTATCCCAATCTGGCTTCATTGCAAACATGCCCTTATGCTTCAACATACTTAAGTCAATAAGTATAATTAGTGTGTGTGTGTGTGTGTGTGTGTGTGTAAAGACAGAAATCACATAGTCACATAACCACTTTAGGAGACACAGAAAAGGCTTTTACAAAATTCAACATCCCTTCATGATGAAAATCATGGAGAGCCTGCAGTTGGGTGACGAGGCCAGTTTCTAACTCTTGAACATATAATAAAGCACTTTAGCTGTTTTTAGTCAGATATGCTGACTTATACCTTTAATCTTAGCACTGGGGAGGCAGAGTTCAGGCTAGCCTGCTTTGCTTTTGTATGTGTGTGTGCATGGCAGAGAATGGGGGAGAGACACAAGGCATTTCAATCAATTCTAATTTTGTTGTTTTTTTAAGACAGTTCACCTGTGTAATTTTGGCTAGCCACGAACTTGATCCATAGACCAGGCTGGCCTTGAACTCAGAGATCCACCTGCCTCTGCCTCCCAAGTGCTGAGATTAAAGTCATGCGCCAAATTCTGAATATTTTAATTTTGATTTTAAATTAAAGAGCAGAGTTAACAGACATAATGGTGCATGCCTGTGTCTACGACTCAGGTGGCTGAGAGGGGGCTCAAGACTAGCCTGAAAAACAGGAGATCCCAACCTTGTCTTAAAAACAGTTTACCAGGCATGGCGGCTCATGTCTTTAATCTACCACTTAGGAGGCAGAGGCTGGAGGATCTGTATGAGTTCAAGGCCAGCCTGGTCTATAGAGTGAGTTCCAGGATAGCTAGGGCTACACAGAGAAACCCTGTCTCGAACAAAAACATCAACAAAAACCCATTCTTCACATAGAAAAGCAATTAAAGTTTATCTGGAAGAACAAAAGACCAAGAATATTCAAAACAACCCTGAACAAAAAGAATACTGCAGGAGGTATCATCATACCTGATTTCAAATTATACCACTGAGCCATAGTCATAAAACCAGCACGGCGCTGGCACAGAAATAGAGGGACTAGAATTGAGGACCTGAGCCTAAGTCCATATAATTATACAGTCACTTGATTTTTAACAAAGATGCAAAGAATACACATTGTAGAAAAGACAGAATCTTTAACAAATGATGCTGGGAAAACTGAAATTCGACACAAAGAAATCTTTATCTCTCACCGGGCTCAAAACTCTACTCCAAACATCAGGCCTGATAATAAGAAACCATGTAGGAAAGTAAAGAATGCATTACGATGTAAAGATCAGTACAGATTTCCTAATAGGACTCCAGTAGCCCAGGAAATAAGATCCAACAATCAATAAAAGGGACCCCCAGGAGACCAAAACACTTCTGTACAAAGGAAACAGTGAGATGAGTGAAGAGGCAGCCCACAGAATGGGAGAAAATTTTTGTGAAGTATTCGTCTGACAGAGATTTAGTGTTATAAAATTAAAAAACTAAAACAAACAAACAAACTAAACAACAAGAAAACAATCTAGGTGGTTGAAAATAAATGACTTTGTGGATGAGGGTAGGGTCCCCAAGGTCCCATCCTCACGGAGGAGTTAGTAGCTATTGAGAGAGGGAGAGTCACGCTCCTTTGGCGAATGGCCAAAGGCTACCCGTGCTGGTGCCCCAGTGGCTGGACACATTCCCATGTGCATATGGGAAGATCCGTTGGTCTTGGGGGTTACTAATAACAATGGGGAAAGAAAGTGGACATGGCCGGGCACTGGTGGCGCACGCCTTTAATCCCAGCACT